AGATAGATAGATAGATAGATAGATAGATTGATTTTTTTTTTTCCCCCGCTCATCTCCCCCCCAAATTCCACACTGGAAAGAAGGAAAGACTCAGGGAGTGATAGGTGATAAGATTGTGGAGAAAGAGGAAACGAGAGGGAGCTGGGTGCAGGCAATTAATATTTTCCTTGCTGTAGCGGGCCAGCTTCACTGGGTACAGGTCTGTTTAAAATTAAATGCAAAGTTATTTTTGGATTAAAAAACATACACTCAACAGTGCAACTATATAAATGTTTTAAATAAATCAGTAACATAAATATTGGACGTGAAAAGCAGAAGGCTTACTAAATTCTGCATTCTCTGTATTTGTAATTTTAATTGGATAAAAGTGTATGCCATAACTAGCTATTACTGAGCTAAAATGACTCTATTCAATAGAAATCCGATTGGAATCCCATTCAGACATGCCTCCAAGTAATGGTGCTTAGGCGATCTAGGTGTAATAGTTCAGTGCTTTGGACCTTTACTTGGAAGTATCTCTGGGTTGAATGGGACTTTCTCCTAAATAACTTTATAAGATTGTTTTTGCTATAACAACGGTTTCCATGAAGTGTCATTTTGGTAGCAGCTAGATTTTGTGTTGATTTGCAGTTCCATCTATTCCTTCTTCTGGAAGGAAAAGCCTAGAACCTGCTTTGCCAACTGGTCTCATCTCCCACATTCTTAATTCTTGAATATTGTATGCCAGAACTGTAAGTAGTCTTGGCAGTCAATTCTGGCTAAAAAAAAGTGTACATTGCTCTTTGTCTGCCCTTGTAAAGAGTTCTGAAATTTTAAGTGAAAGGCTTTAGGTAAATACTTAGTATTCACTTATTGCAGGGAATAGCGCTCAAATACAGTTGAGATTGAGTATTTATTAAATTATTCCTCCTTAATTGATTGCTGAGATAAACTCTCCTGCCATGATCATATTTTGCTACACTTCTGTTAATCCTCAGAGCATATCTTATCCACATTTGATCTCAGTAAATTCTTCTACAATATGAAACATTTGCATGAGGCTGTGACTCTGCTATTATATTCATGCCTGACCAAATTACTTTAACTCTCACTAGAAAATCTCCACCATTCTTTTCTACTCCCATTCTTTTCCTTCTTTTCAGAAACGGCCATTATTACAAATATCAAATGCATCTGGTGCCCTCCAGATGAATTGGAGTTCAAATCCTATGGTCCTTTTTTTCATTGAGATTGTAAGATTTGAAGCTCAGCATATTTGAGAAGTATCAGGCTGGGCAAGGATAATTCCCTCCCTCCCTCCCTCCCTCCCTCTTTCCTTCTTTCTCAAGTAAGTAAGTCAATCCATAAGTAAGGCCACCCATCTCAACTGCACGACTGGGTGGTTATGCATAACTTTTGCATTATGAAAGTTCCACTAAGGATGATTTCTGCTTGTAAGATTTAAACTTGCTGTTAGTTTACCTTATTTTAGGTACTGCTAGATAGCGGCACCTAACAAACCTTGATTGATCTTGAGAATCTAAGCAGAGTTCAGCCTGGTTTGTACCTGGATGACAAGCCTCCAGGAAATTATAGGTCTGTAAGCTGAACAAACATTCTAGAAGGACAAAGTGTACCATTTCCTTATTGTTGCTGAGAAAATTAATGAGGGTAATCACAAATTCACCAGGAGTCAAAACTTGATTTGAAGGAAGCTTTTTAGCTGCCAATAAAGTTGTCAACATAATGTGTATTATTTGGTTGTTTTTTTAAAAAAAGAAGTAATGCAATATTCTCTTTGCATCTTTTCTCACATGGCATTTTCATACTAGTTGCTTAGAATAAAACTTGATCCTTTGGGGGCATTTTGTCTTTCAAAACTCATTTTCTTGTCACATTTTTATAGTGGTTTTGAAGTATTTATTACTACTTAGAGAACTATTTTTAAAAATATTATATGTGTGGTTCTGATTTTGTTCCTGCCAGTGCGGCTCTCATTGAATCAGATATGATCTGTTCTCACTGGATTAAGGTTAAATATCTGTTAGTTTTTTGTGTGGGTCTTCATTGGAACTCTTGTGCATTTTCAGGTCTCTCAAATATGATGTCAGATGGAGAATTTTTAAGAACGAGCTGTGGTTCTCCTAACTATGCTGCTCCAGAAGTAATTTCAGGAAGGTAGTTTCTCTTCTTGGATAAATGTATATATGTATTCTCAAAATCAAAGCCCTGCTCTTCAGTGTTAAAGCTGCAAGGTAGATTGAGAAACTTCCACGTTTGGAAATGTGAAATTCCTGGCTTTGATGGCTTCTTTTGATTTCATTTTAATGTTTCTGTGCACAAGAAAATGATTGTGATCACACGTCATATCAAACCATAACAAAATCTGTAATAAACTCACATATGTCTCCTTTTTATTCTCCTCCTCCTGCATGCCAGAAGGACTTCTGGAATTTTAGCATTTGTTTTTAGCATGACATTGTGTTTCAAACAAGCTAAATGATAGCATTTGAATTTGGGTTGTTTAAACATTTATTAACTATAATTCTTAACTATGATTCTGACTCAGGACAATATGGCAAACGGTGTTAATAAAAATACAAATTAAAAGCTTCTAAACTCATCCTCCAAGCGGGAAGGAGGAAGAGAGGGGAAGGATCCTAGAAGCCAAGGGTTGCTGTGACATGTGCACGTTATGCTAAGCCACTGATGCCCGGGATTTTATGGGCTGAGGGCAACTTTTGAATGGTGGGCCAGAGTCTGTTTTGGACTCTCTCTTTTGGACTACCATTTTAATAGTAATTGAATACAATAATGATAATATGATTTTTCTTTGTATATTTAACACATTCTCTTTCTGTCATGAAAAATCACGGTGTGCAAATAGCTTTGAAAGAGTCTTAGGAGGCAGAAGTGGGCATGATGTGCAAACAAATTTCTGACTTGTCTAAGTTCAAAGATTAGTTTCTGCCAGTATTATTTTTAAATGTTTTTAGATACACGTTTCTTGCCTTAGCAGGGGCCAGAAAACTCCTATCTTTTGTTTGAAGTTGGAAAAAAGAATAACTGCCTTTTGACCAGGTCCCAAGACTTTTTCACTTTCTGGTTCAAAATAATTCTAGCATGATGTATCTTTATTGGAAACACGTTTTCCAGATTGGAAGGGCTTGTTTGTGGCATCTTAATTGTTAGGTGCTATTTGATAAAACACTGTAGATACTACATCTCGACTAAAAAATGCTTCAAGAGCTCCCAGGTTATTCTATACACAATGCAATTCTGTGGTTGTATATTATATTGCAGAATATATAATTTGACAGATTGTATCTGAACTACGCTCTTCTTTCAAGGAGCCCATTTGTTTTTATCCTCACAACAATGTAATATGACCCACGCTTTAACTGCAGCTAAGAAAGTCAGGAGTGGGCGTGGAGTTTTGCATGGCATCATCTCCATATGAGGGAGGTGATTCCGTCTTGCCCTTACCTTAAATTTTCTCTTACTCTTACCTTAAGTTAGTAATTATATAATGCTAAGGAGGGCTAGAGTGATCAGTGCTTGCATTGAACTACTCCGCTGAAACTTAAGGATTTGGTCTTGTTGCTTTAGTCACATTAACCATAGATTAACCATCATTAGTTAGGAAGGAGCCTGCTCAGAGAAGAGCAGATGCTATGTCATGCTACTGATTTGTAAAGCAGTAGACAGTGTTGGACTTATACCAGCCCACAGATATTTGCCCAGACCAAATCAGGACCTTGGTCTTTCTGGCTATAGAACTCAGCTCACTTCACCAGTTTTGTTCCATTTTATGTTAAAAATCAGGGGTTAACTATATGAATACTGGTGCTTGTGTAGTCCTTCACAAACATTGCTAAAAGGTTGATAATTTAGTGTAACTATAGCTTACATTGTATTTGTTACTTGAAAAAAAAAATATGATGACCTCCATTTTACAGGTTATACGCAGGGCCAGAAGTAGATATCTGGAGCAGTGGTGTTATTCTCTATGCTTTGTTATGTGGAACCCTTCCCTTTGATGATGATCATGTGCCAACACTTTTTAAGAAGATATGTGATGGTATTTTTTATACGCCTCAGTACTTAAATTCAGCAGTAATTAGTCTTTTGAAACACATGCTACAAGTGGATCCTATGAAGAGAGCTACAGTGAAAGATATAAGGTATCTCACAGCCTCTTGTTCTGTCATGGATGCAATTATAGTTCTAAAACTGCATGCCTATTTTACTCAGTTGTTGGCTTGATGTTGACCTGGTTGTTGTATCATGCTAAGCCATTTTATGATTGGGCTGAGTTGAATCAGAACTGACTTGGATCAAGACTGAGCCCAACTACACTCTGAAGCCATGCTTGTTTTAGGGTACATAAACATTAGCATTGCATATGAATGTGTTCACTGTCTGTCACATCTGTTTCTTTATTTGAATTAAGTGTAAGATGTCTTTGCATATGAATTGAACCAAATTGGTCTTAGTTTAAATTATGATATATAAAATTAAGCTAAGATCTGAACTGGGAAATTTTGTATTATGGAATTCCCCAAACTCAGGAGTGGTCCATGCTCAAACCACATGGCATCTCACTTATAGCCCCTAGAAGATCACAGATTTACATGGCCAAAATTTGGTGGTAAAAATGTTTGAAAATTTGGCAACCTGATTTTCATTCAGTTTTGGAGTTTCTGGAGGAGCAATTTAGGTGGGGATAGGCACTTGAGATTTCTGTGAGACAGAGTACTCCCACTCCAAATTTTAATTCCCCCTCCCATTTCAAAAATGGAGTGACAATTTTTTAGTCCTGCTCCTTATCGTGATGTCACCACACGATCTTTTACCAAGTCAGGAAACTGAATTCCAGGCCCCAACACAGAAGAATTTCCTCCCCCCTGCACAAACAGGTTCTCTCTCCCCTCATGCAGTTGGCCTACAATTCTCATCATTCCTAATCAGGACACATCAATATGCTTTTGGGCTTATAATTACTCTGTTTTTGGGTCAGCCCAACTCAACTTATATTGTAAACAACCACATTCCACATTTATGAATCTTTTTAAAAAGGCACTTAGTATACCAACACAAAAAGTATATTGTTATTTTGTATTGCATTTCCAGTCGTACTTTAAAAACAGTACTTGCAGGAAATCTCTTTTTTAAAAAAAAAAAATTTTAAACTCCTATGCTGATTTTTAAAACTAACTTTTATATTGTGTTTAATTATGATTTGAAAATGTTTGCAAATAACATTCCTATGGAACATTCACACTGTAGAGGTTAAAGAAAAGCCTAAAATCTCATTGTAAGTGTAGCACTGTAACTTATTCCAACTGCCTGTTTAATTATTAGGATGATTTATTTCATATCAGTGAGAAATCTGAAGTTAAGATCTTCAGATTGGTAAAAGGCAAGAGAAAAAAATTGCTTAAAAGATGATGTCTGAGTCTGGTGATTATTACTACAAGCACAACACCTAGCCTGACTTTATTTTCAAGTTCAGTGAAATCCATCTGGGGATTGCCAGGGAAAACATTTTTAGCATACTTTCTGTGCATTTTGCCATATTTTGTTAGTAAAAATATGGCAAAATGGTTGAACAGCTAGCTTTTAATATGGTTCTTGCTTTGCATCTAGGGAACATGAATGGTTTAAACAAGACCTCCCCAAGTACCTCTTTCCTGAAGATCCTTCTTACAGTTCAACTATGATTGATGATGAAGCCTTAAAAGAAGTCTGTGATAAGTTTGAATGCACAGAGGAGGAAGTGCTAAGCTGCTTGTATAATCGCAATCATCAGGATCCTTTAGCGGTTGCCTATCACCTCATTATAGATAACAGAAGAATAATGAATGAAGCAAAAGACTTCTATTTAGCTACAAGCCCACCAGATTCCTTTCTTGATGATCATTTTTCCCGACCTCATCCTGAAAGAGTGCCATTTTTAGTTGCTGAAGTACCACGGTCGCGCCATACACTTGATGAGCTAAACCCACAAAAGTCCAAACATCAGGGGGTCAGAAGAGCTAAATGGCATTTGGGAATTAGGAGTCAGAGTCGGCCAAATGACATAATGGCTGAAGTTTGTCGAGCAATCAAACAGTTGGATTATGAGTGGAAGGTGAGAAGTTGATTCCCTGTCATATAAATGATAATTTCAGATAGAGATAATGAAAATAAACGTAATAATTGCTCTGATGTTCTTTGTTAACTTTCTACTTTGCTTCCTAGGTTGTAAATCCATACTACTTGCGTGTTCGGAGAAAGAATCCAGTAACAGGCACGTATTCCAAAATGAGCCTGCAATTATACCAGGTGGATAGTAGGACTTATCTACTGGACTTCCGTAGCATTGATGGTATGTGAAGTTGGTTATTTGCAGGCAGCCTCTATGTAGAGTATATAAGCATTTATAATGGGGGAGGGAGGATTAACTGTCTCCTTTCTGTGGTGCTTAATGGTGGTGCTGGTCTCAATCATGCCACTGTGGACTTAAAATTAATTGCAGAAGTTAAAATCCATAAAAAATAGGAAGTAGTTGGAATCCCATGTTGCTTCTCCCACCCATCCAGGATCTGCAAAACCACCAGCAATAAGGCCACTTAGTAGCCAGCAAAGATAGGATCATCAGAAACTGCTGCAAGGCATCCCATGGGAAAATTTTTCATCTATCTTTAATGTCAGTTTAAGATCAGGGTGAACTCTGAACACATCCAGTGGAAGTTATTGCAGGCAGAAGTCAAAAAGAAGAACTCCATAGGAGCTTTCTTCAGTTTGATGATCTTGAGATGTATTAGGTCTACATCCCCAGAATTCCTCACCATAGCCAAAGCCGAACCAATTAGGGATTCGGAGAACCGTAATCCAAATGCATCCAGAAGCCATCAAGTTGAGAGATGCTACCTTAAGGCAAATCTAAACAGAATTCACTATCATTATATATGGTGATACATATTAATAATAGCTTTTTTGGTGGAGAATAGGTCTTAAAGGCTTTTAGTCATAGCTCAACAAAGATTCAGTTTTAGTTACCATATATGCTTCTTGATTCTAGATACTCAGAATGAATGGAATGCTAGATATTCAGAATCAGTGAAACACCAGTGCAACCTGGTTCCTAATTGGTTGCCCACTTATGGAAATAGATGAGTTTTTTATTGAACTTCAAAGCTTTTGTAGTAAACTTTAATAGTAGTAGTAGTAGTAGAATGTTCATTCTGGATACATAGAATCTGGTAACTTTAACATGATAATCTATACTATTTTGGCTTATTTACCTAATTTCTCGAATTGTCCTATCCTTGTATGCCTTTAAATTCTTCTCTTTCCTTGCCCTAGATGAAATTATTGAAGGAAAATCGGGGACTACCACTCCCCAGAGGTCAGGCTCTGTGACTAATTATAGATCTGGTCAGAAGGATTCGGACACTGATGTTCAAGGAAAACCATCTGATGCGTCTCTTACCTCTTCAGTGACCTCTTCATTTGACTCTTCTACAACTGAATTAACCCCAAGATCAGGGAGCCACACAATAGAATTTTTTGAGATGTGTGCAAATCTTATTAAAATACTTGCACAATGATTTATAAGATTGGCTTTTTTTTTACAGCAATAAGCATGCCGAAAAAGAAAAAAAAATCATAGTCAAATGCTTCCAATTATAATCAAGTTACAGTTAACTTTGGCACTGAGAAGACTAGCCACATTGCAATTTGCACAGGAATTGAACTTGCATTTAGAAGCAGTCTACACCTCATACTGCATCCTTCCCAAACCAGACGTTTTCCAGATGATGTATTGGCCATTCTGTCTGAAGATTAGAGAGGGCACATCTGGAGGCTTCCAGGTCAGGGAAGGCTGTCTTTAATGTAATGAAGCAAAGTATGATTAGATAGTCCAGTGGTATGATGTGCAGGTAAAGAACAGTATGTTTTTCATTGTGTACCATTAGGGCTTCATGGAGTTTGACCTTTATATGCTGATTATATATTCCTTTTACAGTACAAGTGCTCACTTGCAAGATCAAAAGGTGACTTTTGGAAACTGTCTTTGCTTATATTCTGTTCTGTCAAAAAAAGTGTTTCCCCTGTCAAACAGCACTTCAAGCATCTGGCACTTACCCCAGGTTTTCAATAGCCAGTGGTGCACTTGAGTGGAAAAGACAAAAAAATGGTACCCTGCTTTTACCAATTCAGGGTTAGGCCTGAAAATGATAATACCAAATATAATAATGTTCGGTTTAATTCCGTGAAGAAAAAGGCAGGGTCTAAAAATAGAGTTTTCTCTAACATCTGGTGCATGTGACAGATTTCAGAAGCACTTTGTAAATGGTGAGGGGTGTTTTATTGTTCCAACCTCGGAAGGCAGTTGGAATTTATAATGCATGTGCACAGCCTCCTTCCATGAGTCTAAGCAGATGGACCTTAGGGAGGATTCATGAGAGATGGGTTTTTCCCCCACCACAGCACAGCTGATCTGTGAGAATGATCATGTGCTTCACCAGATTGCAACTCTGCAGGTTCCTTGGCCCATGCCGGGAGCCAGGAAACAGTTTTCTGCAGCTACGATGGGATACGGATTCTGCACCTGAATCTAAGCCCAGTGCTTCTGTGGCTGATAGGATAGCCCAAACTGGTGTATCCCATTCTCGGAATCATGCCCTGCCCTGCCTGCCCTGCGATTTCAGTGGCTCCTGTTTTCACATAGCTTTCATACAGATCTCTGGTAGATAACTCTTCCAGTAAGAGTGACTGGGATTTTGCCTGTGTTGCATAATTGCTTTTTTTACACGGCTTTTGTATACTGAATTAAGATTTCTAAAAGTATTGGAAGATGAAGTAGCTTTGGTTTTGTTTTGATACGTATAAAACTTAACTGGCTAGGTCAGAAATGAGTTGGCTGCCACAAATGAAATGTGTTTCTGGTAGCTTATTGAAAGACTGCTAGAGAGAATCTCCCACTACCCCCCCCCCAAAACCCTTGGCTTTTTAAATTAAACCTATGCTAAAGAAGGCTTGATTTGAACTAAATTAACATTGGAGAATGATATTGAAATGGAAATACTGTATCATATTTCAACAATTCTTATTCAGTTTGGACATCGCATTTAACCATAATTAGCACTGTTTTTTTTTTTTTTTTTGGCATTCCAGTTAAGATTCCAAATGTATAAGCCCCGTTCAAATGAGATGATAAACCAGATTCTTGGAGAATTGTGTTTCATTTATGAGTTGTATTTTGCTGTCCTGTCTGTTCCTCTTTGCTATCACAACTGCTATAACAAACCAAGATGTTCTTTTTTTCTTAATTTTATTGTCAGAACTAGGAATTCTGTTCATTTGCCCAAAATAAACAGGGTTTCTCTTTTAGTTATAATTCTTGAGACCCTCAGTTCATGTGATTTATTAGCTAAATTGCTCCTGGTTTCTTTGTTGGTTGTGCTGATGATGTGGAAGAAAGAGGGATTCTGGCATATTGTTCCTTGCTGATCAGCCCACAGCGAAGATAATAAGACAGCAGTCAGAGTTTTCAACTTAAAAACAGAACAGTTGCTGAAATTGCCCTAGAGATGGCTTTCTTTGGCACAGGTGTTGCACTTTAGTCAGTAATGCCAATGCACTGAGTGAAAATTTCAGAACCCAGGCGAATCCTTAACTGTGATTTTGGTATGCGTATGGTTAAGAAAAAAAAAGCCATTAATACGTGATTATGTATTAATAGGACATGTGGTTAGGTTTATATATCATGCTATGGCATAGTCCCCGGGTTAAGAACACCTGGGTTACAGATGATCCATAGTTAAGAACGGAGCCTATTGTAGCAAAATTCGAGTTAAATGCACAATGGTTACAGTTAATTACACAATACTACTTATACAGTATTATACAACAATACTGTTCCGGCTTACATACAAATTCAACTTAAGGACAGACCATGGGAATGGAACTCATTCTTAAACTGGGGACTACCTATACTTTCTCTTTGGCTTAGCATGTTGTGGTAGCAAAATTCGAGTTAAATGCACAATGGTTACAGTTAATTACACAATACTACTTATACAGTATTATACAACAATACTGTTCCGGCTTACATACAAATTCAACTTAAGGACAGACCATGGGAATGGAACTCATTCTTAAACTGGGGACTACCTATACTTTCTCTTTGGCTTAGCATGTTGTGCAAACCCAGCTGTTACAGTGTAAAACTATGCTAGTTGTAGCTTATTTAACAGACCATGATTCAGCAGACATGGATTATGGTATGTACACCCAGCCAATTGTGGCTTATTCAATGAACCATGGTTAAGCAAACAATGACAAAGCAGCGTGTGAGCCTTCTTATAAAATGTGCAGATGCCAGAAAACAGATCTCTTAATCTGCTGCTTAACATGGTGCCTTTGGAATGTTTTGCAGTATGGTTTCAGTTGTCATCAGCCTCTAACCTCAGTGCTAAGTAGGGATAATGAATACTGTAGACCGGCCATTATGAGGGGACACCAGGTTGGCTTCATCTTTTATGTTAGCGAGGATCTGCAGCAAAGGTTCCCAACTGGATTGTGCCAACAAGGAATTAAGAGGAAGTGATGCTTGGGTTTGAATACAATAATGTGTATCTAGTGAGGGCGTTGGTAGCAGCAACTCAAGATGCACCGAAGAAGACTGGTTCAGTCTGTATATGAACTGCACTGTTTTGATACTTTAATTAGGTAGTAGTTGGACTTCAAAATTTTGTGCTATGGTCAGGGGACCCGTAAATCTATAGCCATGGACTTTTGCCATGTGCTGGCCTTTTAGAAGTGAACACTTAAAGTGGTCTTATGTTGCAGTTTTATACTTATTACTTCCCAGAATGTAAACAGTGGTTTTATAACTCGACTGGACTTGCAGTCATGAACATGTACTCTTAAAGAGATGCGTGTGTGGGAAGGAAAGGGTGGGGGGAGGTTAAAAAGAGTCACTAGCTAAATAGTATTGCTGTGAAAAGGTAAGAGAGAAGGTTGTCTTGGGGACCAAGTAGTAGTACTACCCTTAATTTACAACAAGTAAATAAAAGTACTTGTTATATCTTGCTCTGCTGCATATATACAGTTACTGTGATTTATTATTTACTTATGCAGTCTTAATTTGGAACTGTTAATACTGCCCTTGGCAAATGGCATAAATGCACTTTTTTTTTTTCTTCATAGCTCAAAATGTTTTTGGTAACCCACAATCTTAAATTCTGACAAACACCCAACAGTAAGTGGCTGTAAGCCATACGTTTCAGTGGATCGTAAAGCCTTACTCTGCCCTGCGTATTTATCCAAAAGTAAGTCCCACTCGAAGTGAAATTGCATTGCCTTCAAGGGCCCTTATTTCTAAATATGTCTGCACTAGGACTGTAGCTTTGGTGTGTTTCCTGCTTAAATCCAACTAAAATGAATGGAAGATACTGCTAGCCTCATCAGCTTGATTTTATATCCAGTGTCTACATTATGAAACGTCGTCATGTATAAAAGTTTATTTTTTTTTAATGTATATAAGTTTTGTTGAGTTTTGGGAGGTGGGGTGTCATGCTATCAGGCCTTAACTTCATCTTTGGAATATGAGGGCCAATGTACATAGCAGAAAGGTAAGATACCTATTCTTAAACAGACAGTTTTGTAATTTTTCTTTAAAAGCCCTTGGCCATTAAATGTCCCCTTTTTAATTTTTTGTTAAGTTGGGCAGAGGGATATCTTGGGTGTATTCAAGCAAAAAAATGAATCAGTAAATGTTTTGTAACAATTTTTAGACTTAGAGTAAAATATTGATTGTGAAATTATTATTATTATTATTTTTTACCCTGGCCTTGTGTGGTCTTGTAGCGGAGGCTCGTTGCTGGCCCTTTTTAGTGATACAGTGGGTCAGGGTGGTTGATCACAAAATGAGAACTGCTTTGCAGAACTGACTGTGATGGGAACTGTGAAGAAAAAGAATTTGTTTTAAAAATTAAAAATAACAGAAGTGTATAGCTTGGCCAAGTAGCATATTAAAATATTATTTCTCTGGGCTCATTCCAGTGGAAAAGCCCTTCGGATAATCTGTTTTTATTGCAAACACTTCATAACTGATTGTTGGTGCGGGGGAGGAAGTGGAAAACTTGTGCAATGGAACTTGACATTGGTAAAAAGTAAAAATTCCATCTTTGTAGTTCAACCATTCCAAAGGCTGACTTTCACATGTTTTGTCATTTTTAAGTTTTCAATCAGTATACGGTTTGAGATAATTTTGCCAATTGATTTTTACCATTGTATTGCTTAAGAAATGGATGATCACCATCTCTCAAAAACAATATGTGCCTACTTTTATTGCATTCATTCATTCATTCATTCATTCATTCATTCATTCATTCATTCATTCTCTCTCTCTCTCTCTCATACACACACACACACACACACATTGTTTTGTTGGGGGGGCAATATTGAATGAAATTGCTTGTGATAGCTGTATATGACCTGTTACTTTTAACAA